CTTCTCTTCTGATCCTATAAATCTACCTAAAAAAATCCCTCATATTGCTATGTATATATTTTGCATTAAGACAAATGCCACGACATACTTTGACAAATAAGAATACTGACTTCAGGGGTCAGGAATTTAGTTCAGCGGCATAAGTGCCTTCCTAGCAAGCATGAGGTCATGAATTCAATTCCTGGTACCAAAAAAGAAAGAAAGAAAGAAAGAAAGAAAGAAAGAAAGATCAAGAAAGGACAAATCTGATGAATATCCAGATGCAGCATAATGCATAGGGCTTAAGTTGAAAATAGATGATTAGTTAGACCAAGTTAATACTGATTACCAAGTTTCTTGATTAACTTATTGATAATAGGGAATTCAGTTGTGCACTAAGCTAGGCCACTAGGCACTAAATACATAAAAGTGCACTTGCTTGGCTGGGGATGTAGCTCAGCAGCACAGTACCTGCCTGGCAAGCACAAGGTCTTAAGTTCAATCCCCGATACCAAAAATGAACTTGAACAAACCTCTACTTCCAAGAAACTTGTAATCTACTGAACCATAAGCATGTGTAATTCATGAGTGGTAACAGACTACCAGAGGAAAAGATTAGAGTGGAAAAAAATTATTTTGTTGGTTAGTAGAACTTGTTCTACTTTTTCAAATGTCACTTTTTTTTAACAAACGAGCAGTGTATGTTTTATGGTGTACAATGTGACATTGATACATGCATACATTGTGATATGATTAAATTGAGCTCATTATCATATATATCACCTCAAATTTTTATGGGGAAATTTTTAAAATTTTTTTATTATTTTGAAGGTAGTGAGATACAACAGAAGAAGACAGACAAAGCCAATTTAGACACTGTAGTGAAACTGGTACAGAACCTCACAGCAGATTACTGGGATAACAGTAATAGGTACCACAGTATATCTCACTGTCTTCACAACAGTTGTTCTTTCAATCACGTATAACAAAATGAAATGAGATACAGAACATTATAGAACTTATCAAACAGAATATTGCATAGAATATCATTAATCAAAGCAAAACAGTGGTAAAAATATTTGCCTTCAAAGAGATGGTAGAAGGAAATCCCCCTTATTTGCTATACTGCATATGGTCAATCTCCCAAGAGATGCTCAGATTTCTGGGTCCCATTTGATAATGGGGGGTGGTGGATATGTTTGATTCTCAACCCTTGCGCTGGTGGTAGGCTAACTATCACTTACCAGGGGGGAGAGTTAGTTGCTTGATTTCCTAGTGCCCTAAGTTCCAACATGGCACAGATCTCAGGAGTCACTGATGGTTCTCCCACTGAGGCAGGAGCAGCTTGCCAAGCCCAAATGTCACTTTTTATGGGAAAAACTAGTATTATTTGTCCATTAGGAAGATTAAAATTCCAGTACAATGGTAAAAACACAGTTTTATAGTTCAGAAAACCAGTAAGGATCATACTGAAACCATACCCATGAGCTGGGTGTGGTGGCAGAGGATGGGGCGTTCAAAGCCAGCCTGAGCTAGTTAGCAAGAACCTGTCTCAAGGAAAATTTAAAAAAAAAAAAAAATCACACCCACATTAATACTAGGTGAATTAGGAAGAAATTTTAAAGTGTGCATACATATACACAAAGTAGTAATAGGGAAGGTAAGAATTTAGAAGCCAGGTACAAGTAAACTCCAAAAATTTGGGGATAAAAAAAAGCAATCAGAGACTAAAGATGCTCAGAGGCAAAGTAAGAAGAATAATTGCTGTTATGGTTTAAGTATAAGCTGCCTCCCAAAGAATCAAGTATTAGGATGGACTAGTCCACTGAACAATTCATGGCTGAATGTGCTATTAGGAGGAGGAGGGGAGTGGAGGAAGGAGGTTACCCGGAGGTGTGCCGGTAACTCTCCTCTGGCTGCGCTTTTTCCTGCTTCCTGACTCCCGGAAGGTGAGGAATTCTCTACCTTACACTATTCCCATGTTTCTGCCTTGTAGCCAGCTATACACTGAAACCTTTGAAAACATCCGAAACTGTGTATGTCAAGTATGTTGTCCTGGCAACAAAAAAATGGTGACTAACATAATGGCTAACACAAAGAACAGAAACAGTTTAAAGAACATAGGAGGTCAGTGTGTCAAAGATCTCTTAACAAAGGAAACAACACGAAAGCTGAATGCTAGTATTGGATTTAGCATTTGAGAACTGACATCCCTTAAAGAGCCAAGTCAGTATTTCTGTGTCGTGGCTTCTCATTCCTGTAGAAAGTACATCAAGCACTTCACATATTTTCACACTATGCATCTACTCACAGACCCTATCAATCCTATCATCCTCAGACACAGTGAATCACAGTGATAGAAATGGTTAATCCTGGGGCTGGGGATTTAGCTCAGCAGCATAAGCACTTGCCTTGCAAGCAGGCGGTCGTGAGTTCGATCCCTGGTACCGATAAAAATGAAAAAGACAAAAAAAAAAAAAAAAGAAAGAAAGAAATGGTTAATCCGTCAGGTATTTTGGAGGATACAGGGGGAGACTACTGAACTAGAGGCATAGTGAACTGATAAGCACCTATAGGAAACTTTAAAAAAAGTACCTATAGAATCGGGAATTAAAATTTTAAAGAGCACAGAAGCCATAAGACATAATCAAGAAAGCAGCCAAACCCTTCACAAGTTCAAACAAGGACTAAAGTGTCCATTTGATTTATCACCAGGAAGTTGTTGGAAATTTTGGCAAAGTGATTTCAATGGCACAGAATAAAAGCAAATGGATAGGGGGCTGGGGATTTAGCTCAGCGGCATAAGCGCCTGCCTTGCAAGCAGGCAGTTATGAGTTCGATCCCCGGTACCAATAAAAAGGAAAAAGACAAAAACAAAAAAAAAGCAAATGGATACCTGAGGAGACAGAAAGAAAATTCAGAGGTGCATTAGCCTTGCAAGGACCAGAGACTCCACTTCTATTGGTGAATAATCAGGGTAAGGGAATAGTATTAGGCACAGATTAAGTTCAAAGATTTGATGGTGGAAAATAAAAAAATTTCACATCTGATATATTCTGGTTTTTCTGTTGTGGGTTTTTTATTTGTTTTAGGAAATCTGACCATCACCTGTTGAGTGTGAAGGAAGAGATTTATACAGGATTAAAAAGATTTAAATAGTCACAACGGAAAATGTCAAAGGTATACAGGAAAATATAAAAGGCATAAATAAGGACTACATACCCTCCAAAAACTAATTCCTGGAATACATCCTAGTGAAACATACTCATTGTTACCTTTCACTTGTTTACCTGGGAAAATGCTAGTTACACTTCAAAACTAGCTCCTAGTCAGGCTTGATGATAAAGACTTGTAGACCCCAGCCACTCAAGAGACTAAGGCAGAAGAACTAAGAACCAAGTTTGAGGTCAGCTTGGCAATTTAGTGAGACTTTGTACCAAAATCAAATTTAAAAGGGGTAGGGATGTAACTCAGTCCTAAAGTGCTTGCCAAGCACATCCAAGGCCGGAGGTTCAGTCCACACTACTGGAGAAAAAAAAAAAGAAGAAAAGAACTCTACTAGAAAGGCTTTCTTGAAACTCCCAAAACACTTTCCAAGCCCTAGTTACCATCTGCATTAATCCTTTCATTTTATACATACTGCTAGTACTCCTCTCTGATAGCACCTTTATGGCATTAAAATATTTCCTCTGCTAAATGGTGAACTACTTAAAAAGTGGAAAATGCACTCCTATCAAGCATTCAAAACTTGGTTAAACATAATTTAGATACAAAGGTGCATTAGCGACATTAACTGAAAGATCCAACACAATCTAGTTCAGAAACCACGATTAGTTATAAGAAAAGTAGATAAATGATCACATAAAAGGCAAGTAAGGCAATAATATTCAGTAGAAAAATCATTTAGAACTTTATTTCAATATCTTATAATCCACTTCGGTCTCCAAATGTTTGCATGTATTTCTTTCAGTTATGTTTAATTACTTTAAGTGCATTTATTCTGCGCCTACTGTATGCAAGATACAGCTAGGAACACTCAAAAGTTTCCTACAACATAGCAGAAGCGATTAAGCCAATTACACAAATGATCTTCATACAAAGTGCAATGTGAGTTCCTTCAAAGAAAAATTAAGAACAAGCGAGAAGGACCTTATGTTTAACCTTAGAAATTTTAACTTTATTCTGAATAAAACATTCAAGACATGTTAAATGGATTAATACAATTGAATCTGCTTTTCAAGTGTACCATATTTATTTGGAATAAGCCCTCTCCAAAACTCTCAAGAGACCTGAGTTTGACCTAAGTGGAAATCAAAACCTGAACAAATACTCTAAACTCTCCCCATGTTTTGTTGTGGATAACTGCTTGTTTATCAAAAAAGAAAAAAACCAGCCACAGGTAATACCTGTGCAGCCCAACAAGTTAACGGAGGCGTAGCCAACTGTACTTTCAAACGAACCCCTCTTTTTGGAAAGTGCCGTCTGTTCTGTCTCACGCTTCTTAGCCCCCGATACTGCGCCCTCCGTCCCAAACTGCGGGAGCAGCCAACGCGGGCCACTGGGCGCGGGGTCCTGGAACTTGAGGGAAGCCCGGGGCGTGAGAGAGACAAAGCTGAAACCGAGAGCCACCACAGGGCAGGTGGGGGGCGCCGGAAGGGGGGTGGAAGTCGCCGGGATCACGTCTTACTAACAAGGCACCCGGATGCCCGGAGGCCGTCGGAGGGGAGTGGTCACTTCGAGACCGATAAACTTTCTGCACAGCGACGGGTTGAGTCCACCACGGTGACCCAGGCGCGGTACAGGACAGTCCTCCCAGGCCCACGGCCTGGCCAGACCCCGACTCCTTACCGTCCTGCAGAAGCTCCCGCACTGTCGCTGCAGCCCCTCCAGAACCCGGAGCCCCCAGGCCCGCCACGGGGCCGCCGCCGTCGCCACCTTCCATGTTGGCAGGTGCCGAACTGATGGCGTCAGCGGCGGCACGCCCCGCCCAGGTGATGACGCAAAATCCTGGCGCCGGCAGTCGCCGAAGCAAGCGACACCTGGCAGGTTTGGAGAGTCGGCTGTGCGGCAGTACCTAGACTTGTCGGTGCCGGAGGCGGCGGCCACTGAGGACGGGACTAGGAGCTGGACACGCGAGAACGAGGTCACCACGCCGAGACTGTCTGCTGTCGCTAGCCGCAGACCGAGCCGCGCCCCAGCACCGGAAAGAAGCAGGAGGTGGGCTCCAGAACTGGGCCGCGGCGCTTAGCTCTGGAGCGCAGGCTTCGCTGCGCGGGCCACGAGGGAGCTCGGAGGTTTCCGGGAGCTTGCTGCACAGCTTTGTCTCCCTCCTTATGGATTGGCAATAAGTAGTAAAGGCTGGCAGGAAGAGCTTGGAAAGAAAAGTTACTAAAGGCTGAAGTACTGAATAAACCTACACGCATCGAATACTTGTAACAATTTATGAGCAAGTCGCGTGCTACCCTGCATTACGCGCTCTCCCTGAGAGGTTTTCTCTTAATTCGTTTGGTTCAGCGGTGATACGAATAGGATCGATTGTTCTGAGAGGAGGTCACAAGAATCGCCAAACCTAGTGTATTGTGATTCACGTTAGATTTCATTATCCGTAATGCGCAAAACTAATTTGTTGCGTATTGCTCGTTACTATTAGTAATAAATACCATTGCCCATGAATTATGGGGTGTTTTTGTTTCTTCCTTTTTTTTTTTTTAACACTGGAAGATTTTAGAAGAGTACCTAATATTCATACGATGAAAAGTTTTGGCTCCCTACTATATGTATCAGCACAAGTTTACAAACAAGAGGACTGAATCTATATCCAAAAGGAGATAATAGATCAGCTGGAAGCTCATTTCAGTAAATGATTGTGCCAGGTGTAGTGGACTGTATTATTCAGGAGTTTTAAGTTTGACTGCACACTGAAATCACATGGAGAACATTTAGTAATACTGATTCCTGCGTCTGAATAAGCTGGAGACTGAGATGTAATTGGCTTGGGATATGACTTGGGCATCCAGATTCTTGAAAGCTTGCAGGTCACTCTGATGTACAATCAAAGTTGAAAGCTACTGAATTAATTAGTAAGCAAATACATATTGAGAGAAACCTTCCTATTTACCGTGATTACAAGAATAAGAATAAAATCATTCTTGCTAAAGCCACATTAAAATGAACTTGCCTGTAGACATTTTTTAGTTTTCTACGTGTTGAAGACATCAACTCCTTTGTAATATTCTGGCTTCGTGATTTTTGAATATCACTCTTCACCATTATTTCTCCCAGCTCCAAAATTCATTTGTCCCAGTCTTTGCAGTCTTCTTTTTTTTTTTTTCTGTTACTTAAGTGTTGGTGCTTCTGATGGTTTTTCACAAGCTTTGGCATCTTTAAGTGCCTTTATGTTTTAGTTTTTACTTGTTACCTATGGTTAAAGACTTCCAGTTTTGTAAAGTTAGTTTTTGTCTGTTTCTAAGTTACTAAGGCCAAACATTGGAATATAAAGAGCAGAGATTGAAATATTAGAAGCAGCAAACTGGTCAAATTATTTCTCTGAAATATTTTAAGTGAACAGTTCCAGACATTCCCAGTATTATAAAGAGAATAATTCAAATCAAAGTTATTGGTGTGTGAATGCCAAACAAAATGGAAAAAGTTTAAAATATGAAAAATCAAATGATACACTAGCAAAAAAATCCTTTTTTTACATTTTTTCACAACTTTTATGTTTTTCACATTTGTAAGTGAAGGCAGAATTTTGTGGTATTCTATTTGGTAATATGAAAAGCTGAAACAAGCCCACAACTCAGATGAAAAATAAATCTTACTGACATTTGAAATTGTTGGAATATTGGGAATTCATCTAAAATACCTTTTCTCTGTTCAAACTGATTATCTTTTTCAGATTTGAAATAAATCTGTAGTCATGAAGAATGACTCCATACAAACCACAATGTGTCAAGAAGGAAAAAAAGATCCAATAGAAATGTTTCATTCTGGACAGCTGGTGAAAGTCTGTGCCCCGATGGTTCGATATTCCAAGTAAGTATTGTTAAATGGTTAATAAATAAAGTGTAATGTCACTTTCATGCTCTGACTTTCTAAAGTATTATAAGGGATCTCACCATTTTGTCCCTTACCAACTTAATGTCACCTTCACATGGAGATACCAGTACACAAATCACAATTAACATAAGTAATATTCATCATGGGAAAACCACAGTCATAAAATCCATTTCTGAAGTTCACATTATCAAGTTCAAAAATGAACTAGAAAGAAACATTACAGTCAAGCTTGGATATGCTAATGCTAAGATTTATAAATCTGATGACCCAAGTTTTCCTCAACCAAAATATAATAATGTCTTTTGGAAGTGATATCCCTGATGACTTTCCTGCAGACATTCTGGGGATCAAAGAGAACTTCAAATTAGATGTGTTTCTAGTTGACTGTCTATTATGCTGAATGGTGCCACAATAATGGATACAGCTCTCCACTTGATAGCTGGCACTGAATCTTAGGTTCTTCATCAAACTTTTAAATATATATCTGGCTGTAATAAAAATCATGAAGCATATTTTGTCTTTGCAGAATAAAACTGATTTGGTAAAACAAAGTCAAGCTAAAGAACAATATGAACAGGTCTTTGTACTTACACAAGGTAAAGTAGCAGAAGAAGCTCTCATTATTCCAATTTCTGCCCACCTGAAATACAGTCTTCAAGTTGTCTTTGAGGACACAGTGAAGAAAATACCACTGCTACTTCCTAGGGGCTTTATTTCAGAACCTTGATTTATTAGGTCATTTGAGGTCAACAAACATGGTTGTGAAGTTGATGACCTTAAGGTTGTAGCTGGTTGTGTACTCCAAGAGAATAGGTGGGCCAGGAAATAGAAATCCAATTTAGTATTGTTTCCAAAGATAGTGAAGGAAAATTCATGTGTATATACCAGTCTTTTACAAAATCATATTACTTTATTATTTCTCTTAACAGCCTAGTAATATGCTTTCAAAGTAATACTAGGGAATTTCACAGCTCATTAGTAGATAGCTCTAAGGTTAGTACTAATATAAGGGCAGTAATAGATTTTTAAAAACAAAGGTACTATAAAATCACATACCATATAAGATATTCAAACTTGGGGCTGGGGATTTAGCTCAGTGGCATAAGTACCTGCCTTGCAAGCAGGCAGTCGTGAATTCGATCCCCAGTAGCAATTAAAAAAAAAAAAAAAAAAGATATTCAAACTCCTAGGTTTGGAATCACGACCTAGAATTTAGTCCCTAGTTTTGCCACTTGCCTGTTAGCCATGTGTGCAGCCTCAGTAAATCCTTCAATGGCAGTGGTTGTAACTGCCACATACAAGGATATAGTGGACATTAGATAGGTATAAATGTTATTGTGTAAATATACATCTTGGCATGCAATACATGGGCATGCAAAATTGCTATATAACCAGGTGTATGTTTAGTTTTATAAGCTGTCAGACTTCTAAAGTGGCAATACCATTTTTATCTCTACCTAATACCATGTAAAGGATCCAATTTCTCATCACCAGCTTTTGATGCTGGTACTGTTTAATAAGTACGTAGTTTTAAAACTACTCATTGCGGTCTTAATTTGCATGCTTACATTTTAATCTTACATGCTTAATGGTATCTTTGCATACACGTTTGTATGTTTCTTCCCTTGTTTTGCCCATTTCTAGTTATTGTTTGCTTTTTTACTATTGAAGATGTTGCTTTGTTAGAAAATATTCATACCATAATATTTACCTGTTAATCAGTGTGTAGTTCAGTAGTGTTAATTACATTCCGTGTATATTATATATGATCTCTAAAACACTCAGTTTCTGGTTTGATTAGCAAGGAAACTTGTGGAGCTGATTTGGTCTGTATCCACTGCTGATTTCAGGTGTCCAGCTTCTTCAATCCCCCAACTGTGACATATTTGAAAAGAAAAAAAAAAATTTAAAAAACAGGGAAATGTCCACCTTCCTGTTTCTCAGGATGCAGGAGCACTAGCCTGTCTACCCTATTCTCTGCAGGTTTCAGATTTTTAGATATGATACTATTGTTTTTTGCTTATAATTAGCAAGAATGAGAAAAAGTACATCTCCATCTTCCCATTAGCAAAACTCTCCAATAAATATAAATAATTTACTAAACTTGTAAATACATATGATAATGGTATCTTCTAAATGCCTTAGTAGAATTTTATGTGTTCACAGGTTGGCTTTTAGAACACTGGTGAGAAAATACCATTGTGATCTGTGTTATACTCCAATGATAGTTGCTGCTGATTTTGTCAGATCTATAAAAGCCAGAGACAGTGAATTTACCACCAACCAAGGTATGTGAAACCCTAGTTTGCTGACTTTATAAAACTTAAAAACAAACTTTTTTTTTTTTTTTTGTCTTTTTCCTTTTTATCGGTACTGGGGATCGAACTCATGACTGCCTGCTTGCAAGGCAGGCGCTTATGCCGCTGAGCTAAATCTCCAGCCCAACAAACTTTTTTTTTACAAACTCAACCATGCTATCTAATCAGAGACAACATAATGGAAAGATTTTATAATCATTTTATTCTTAAAGTATCTTTAAGACATACTGTTAAAATATGGTACTGAGTACCTTATAAGCTCATTATAAACAGCAACCTATGAATTACAAATGAAGGAATTACAAATAGAAAATTGTGCAAAAAATATGAAAGAGCTCACAAGTTATACAAAATGTATATACATTGCAGGGTAAATTGTGAGGAAATAGTGCCTTCATCCATATTGATCTGTATTGGTAAAAATGTTTATCCAGGTGATCGTACTTCTAGGAACATACCATGTGAATGTACTCAAAAGCATGTAAGCCAAAGCATCCTTATTGCAGCATTACTTACAAGTACTACAAATAAAAAGCAATCTATAGGTGATAGTCCATTCCTGCTGTTGAGTTTGCCACTGAAAAAGCATGATGCAACTCCCTGGCACATCAGGAAAAGAAGAACAGTAAGCACAGCAGTATATATAAAATGATCACATTCGTTTACATTTAACAGATAGGCATAAAATCACTCTGGAGTACAAGAAACTTAATTCCTACCTTTAGCTAGATGGTCTGCTTGTCAAGAGTGTAGAAATACTTTTGATTTTATCAAATTTTGTACTGTTTGAATTTTTACTTAGTGTAAATATTTTTAATTTGTTTTCATATTTTTAATGTTTTAATATTATCTATTGAATAAATGTTACTCAGGCCAAAAGCAGTTATCAATATGTTGTTGTGTACAAATATTAGAGGATGGTATCTGTGTGGGGTGTAACTGTGTTTGTGTGGATTTTAATGCTGAGCTATTGGTTTTATCAGGTGATTGCCCATTGATTGTTCAGTTTGCTGCTAATGATGCAAGACTTTTATCTGATGCTGCTCGTATAGTATGTCCTTATGCGAATGGAATAGACATTAACTGTGGTTGCCCTCAGAGGTAAAGCTCAAAGAAGTCGGAGGAATTTTCAAAAAGATTAGGAAAAAACTTTATGAACATGGTAAAATATCTTTCTGGTTTTCCAAAAATTATAAAGATATAGAGTTAAAGCACCAGGGCTCCAAATGAGAAAATAGGGGGAAAAGTATAAAGAAAGATTATTTTGTAATATAATTTCATACCAGGTATAGCAGCCCATGTCTGGAATCCCAGCACTCAAAGACTGAGGTGAGAGGATTTCAAGTCCAGACTAACTAGATCCTCTCTCCAAAAAAATAAAAGGAGTCTAACTTCAGAGGTCTTTTCTGATGGCCAAAATAGTATGCAGACCCTTCTTTGACTAGTGTTTTGTCCCCTTCAATAATAATCATTTTTTGTGTGGATCTGCCTTCAACCTCATCCATAAGTAATTATGTAAGAATGTAATGTTTGGCTGGTCCGATGGCAGTGGGTTATCAGAACTTATTAACATTAGTGTCACTAAAGTTGGTATACCACCCCCCACACACACACTGCTAAATTGACTGGCTTAAAAAAAAAAAAAGAATGTAATGTTTATGACAACTCCTACAGTGTATTTTTACTGTTATATTTTTGCTCTAGAAACTGATTCTTTGATTTAGGAAATACTGAGTGTCTTCTCCTAATTATTTTACCTTACAAGAAAATTTTATATAATCACCTTTTCTTTCTATCCTATAGTTATAGTATTTCTTTGGGTTTGGAAGAATGGACTTCATTTGACGATAATATCCCTACTATACTAGATTATCTGTCAATTAAAATATGTCTAAAGAATAAAATCAAGGTTTTAATTGCAGCATAATCCACAGATTACACATTTTTGTATACTCATTAGGAGAGTTAAATAAGCTGTTTAGTAGTATTGGAATGCTGTAAGCCAAAAATATCATTCTATCAAGACTAATAAAACCTCTTGTTATACACAATAAACATCAAATTGGGAATTTTAAAAATCTGAAATAATTGCAGTTAATTACCAATACTTAAATCTGTTTCAGTCGAATGAATTTTAATTTAATATTCTAACTTGCCAGTGGAAACTCCCCTGTGATTATTTTTTGATCTTAGAACATGTTTCCTAATCTCATTGGTTCACTTAGAAATGTTGACCTATGTATTTTAAAAATCTGCTTCATTTTAGATCACTGGATAAATACATAGGTGCACTTATATTTTAGTGCTTTTAAAATTTTATCTTCTGTTTATCTGCTGCTTATAATTCATCTGTTGTTGCATCTGCTTTATAAAGGTGGGCAATGGCAGAAGGTTATGGAGCTTGCTTAATAAATAAGCCAGAGCTTGTTCGAGATATGGTGAAACAAGTAAGAAATCAAGTGGAAAACCCCAGATTTTCAGTTTCTATTAAAATAAGGTAAAGATAACATAACCTGTTCATCCATAATCTACTAGTAATAGTTAACCCATGAATTTAATCTAATGAATCTGTAATTCATTTCTTAGAAAATAATTGTATATTTTCTGTGTAGTGATGTGGGAGTATCTGTCCTAAATAAACTAGTCACTGTGTATGGAAATGTTGAAACAAGATACTGAATAAACATATATAGCCCAATTTTTATTTATAATCCTGAACAACATTCCCTTTTTACTTTCTAACAAAATTAAAGCATCCCTTTGTTAAAAGATCTCACTGAACTCTAAACTTTTCCAAATACTATTTAATTACATTCCCAGTACCAATAGTAGAAAACCGGAAAGCAGCAGGTACAGGCATGGTGGTAGACACCTGTAATCTCCGGAGTCTGGGAGGCTGAGGCAGAAGGATCAAGCCCAGTCTGGGCAAGTTAACAAGACCGAATCTTTTTTTTTTGTCTTTTCATCGGTACCGGGGATCAAACTCACGACTGCCTGCTTGCAAGGCAGGCGCTTATGCCGCTGAGCTAAATCCCCAGCCCCCTAGAAGACCGAATCTTAATAAAGATAAAAATGAAAAAGGGCTAGGGATGTAGTTCATTGTGAAGGCCCTGGGTTTAATCCCCAGTGAAGGAAAGAAGGAAGGAAGAAAATAGGAAATACATTTGCACTAAAGTTTAACAAAAGGGAATCAGTTTTTTGGTTGAAGAGATAATGTTCTCATTAGGGGTTGGAACATGCACATCAGCTATTAAGATGGTATCTGCCGATTCATCTGTGACAGTATTTTGCTAATCTTTTCATTCATCAGTCCAAAAGGAGACACACTAGGTAGGATAAAACTTACTTGTCCTACTGTTGTTGCCAAGAGGAAATAACTTTGAGATCTTCGGTGGGAACTGATCCCTAAACAGAACTTAACTGATAGTGGCATGAAATAATAATATGATACAGAAAAGCTAACCAAGTAATATAGTGGATGAAATGCCATTTTCGTTAAAGTTTTAGCATTGAGATGTGTGTGCTGTGAAGAGATACATATAATTTTGAAATGACAGGATCCACGATGACCTTACAAGAACTGTAGACTTTTGTCGAAAGGCTGAAGCCACAGGAGTTAATTGGATTACAGTCCATGGAAGAACTGTTGAAGAAAGACATCAGCCAGTCCACTATGATGCCATTAAAATAATAAAGGAAAACATGTCTATACCTGTGATTGCTAATGGAGACATCAGAAGCTTAAAAGAAGCAGAAAATGTGTGGCAGATTACTGGCACAGATGGTAAGCGATAAGTACTTAGATTTTATCTTTTAATTAGAAAAAATGGAGTAATGTTAATTTGATCTTCATTATTTTTAACACTGAGCCTTATTTTCTCAGCAGACTGACTTAATCTAAGGAATTTATTAAAATGCTGTTAACTCTTCTGCTTAGAAACAACAGATTATTAACTGAGATAAATCAATTCATTTGTTTCTCTAATGTCATCCTATCTAGAACCTTCCAGACAGCCTATTAGTGAAATAAAACAGCTAGAGTAGAAATGAGTTAATGAAGTTTGTTAACCAAAGGTTCCTCAGAACTGCTACATAGTTTCATTATCCTCTGAAATTACAGACTAAGCCAGATGATAACAATGGCTAGAGGGAGAATGCATAAAAACAGTGTAAGCATCCCAATTTAAAATAATCTGGATTTACCATAAAGAAAAACTAAAGACTAATTGTTTAACATAGAAGTCCTTTAAAAATAAACAATTATGTAAGTACATTTAAACTTACTGTGGTTTAATGTAGGGGCTGGGGATTTAGCTCAGTGGCATAAGCGCCTGCCTTGGAAGCAGGCAGCCGTGAGTTCGATCCCTGGTACCGATAAAAAGGAAAAAGACAAAAAAAAAAAAAAAAGGTACCAATGTAAATTGTTCGGCTGACTTAAATAGCAGTAATAGAATAAGGATATTGTAAAACCTTGTAATAAAACTTTAAATGTTAATACTTTTTTCATTGATTTTTGAGCTAATAACCATGGATTCTTAATGCATGGACACACATACTGTGCTTTAATTTGTAGGTGTGATGGTTGCAAGAGGACTCTTGGCAAACCCAGCCATGTTTGCCGGATATGAGGAAACGCCATTGAAATGTATCTGGGACTGGGTCGACATCGCTCTCGAACTTGGAACTCCTTTTATGTGTTTCCATCAACATTTAATGTACATGATGGAAAAAATAACTTCAAAGCAGGAAAAAAGAATATTTAATGCTCTGTCAAGCACATCAGCAGTTTTAGATTACCTGACAGACCATTATGGCATTTGACTACACTTTCCATATTATTTTAATATATAATTTATTTTATACCTACAAGAAAACATACAAGGTCACATCTTAGTTTTTACTTTAAATTAGTGACTCTCAAACTTGAGTATAAAAACAGTCCCTGGAAGCATTTTTGAAAAGAAGATCTGGAATGCATCCCCAGACTTTGATTCGGTGAATGAGGTGGACCTAGAAATTTATAGTTTTAAAAAGAAGTCCAGTAGTTGGGGGTGTGGCTCAATGATAGAACCCTTGCCTACTATAGAAAAGGTCCTGGGTTCTATACCTATCACCACCAAAAAATAAACTATTCTTAAAAAAGAATAGTGGCTTGGGGCTGGGGATTTAGCTCAGCGTCATAAGCACCTGCCTTGCAAACAGGCAGTCATGAGTTCTATCCCTGGTACCGATAAAAATGAAAAAGAGAAAAAAAAAGAATAGTGGCTCAAACATCCTGTTCATCCTAGGTCTAAACATTAGCAGACTCTCCTCTGGATCTTGTTATGGATTGGGGGTGGAGGCGGTGGGGTTTTTTCCTTTTCCTAAAGAAGACATGTTTTTAACACTTTTAAATAAAGCTTATTTTAATACTAAGTATGACTTGTATCGATAAGTTAACAACAAGGATGTTTTTAATAAAAATAAATGCAGATAAGTGGTAGAACAAATACCAATATCTATATTCTTTTTTTTTTTTTTTGTCTTGTTTTTTTATCGGTACCAGGGATCGAACTCATGACTGCCTGTTTGCAAGGCAGTTGCTTATGCTGCTGAGCTAAATCCCCAGCCCCGCCAATATCTATATAAAATGAAAACATTCTGAATAGAAGGGTACTCAGGGTTTACATTAAAAATGCAGATTGGAGGGGCTGGGGATTTAGCTCAGTGGCATAAGCTCCTGCCTTGCAAGCAGACAGTCGTAAGTTCAATCCCTGGTACCGATAAAAACGAAAAAGACCAAAAAAAAAATCAAAATTAGAAAATCGGACTAATTTATGTACTAATTTAATTAGGTGTGATGTGTTTAAAAACTCAGATTGCATGGAATTCTAAATGGCATTAAACAGTACATCTCAATCCTTCTAGATACTTAGATTTCAGAGTTCAATAAATATACCTGTACCTAAAAGGATAAAGCTAATTGTGGTCCCATGCATTTTTTTTTTTTTTTTCTTTTTTTAAGACTGAGTCTTGCTATGTAGCCCTGGTTCCTCAAACTCATGCCTCAGCCCTGAGTGCTGGGATTGCAGGCATGAGCCATCACACCTGGTGCATAATTTTTAAAAAATTAGTGTGTTGTTTTCATACATAATTTACATTAGTTTTGGGAAATTCATTTTCAAGCAGTACCTCACCCTACAATCCCCCTCCATATCTTAACTATAAAAAATGTATCTGATCTGGAGATGATTATATATTTGAAATATTTCCTAGAGCATAATGCTTCCTAGTTTAAGAAACTAGTTTTCATGTTAGTAATTTTTATGCTGTAGTCAGTTGATAATAATTGCACGTTTAAACTCACGTGGCTTGAACTATTGAGACCAATTAAAAAAGTTTAATTCAAGAGTTTGTGAGCACTAAATCAATTTTTATAAGCACTGTACTGCCACATTTTTCTTACACGTGCTTTTTTTGCTACCATATGAACAAAGATTACGGTCTCAATGCCAACCAAAAAGAGGGAACTGAATTTTTATTGTAAATAGCAGCCTGTGGATGTCCAGGAGGGATCCCCAAGTGGGTGGCTACAGTGACCTCTCCATCCAGAGCTAGTTATAGCTAAACATCAGGAATTGCTCAGTTATTAAGTGGCCAACTATCATAGGTGGCTGTGTGAATTTAGAATGACCCACCCGGTTACTTGATATGTAGGGTTTAAACAGAAACTGTGATTCTAAATTAAAAAGTTATTTTGCATTTGAAATTCCTGAGGAACTCAGTAGCTTAGTAGGGTCCAGACTATATTCCAAGTTGCCCAAGGAAGTTCAATTTTGAGCCATTGCCCTACTTCACCATCTAGTCTTATTTGCTGATCACCCAACCCTCTCAAGGCCCTTTCCTAGCCTGCTGCAGCTATCAAACTTCCTTACACATTCACTTTTCAGTTTTGCATTTTTTAAAAACGAAAGAATGCTTTCTGTCAAATGCTTTGGCATTTGCAAGGAACAATATATTAAACAGGGAAATTTGGTCAGAACTTCGTCAGATCAACTGAAGTGAGTTACGGGTCTCAGCACAGCAGCAGCATCAGAAGGGGCACAGGACTTGGGAGAAACCGGTGTGGAAGGGCAAGAAATTCTAATACATATAATTTAAAATAATCTTGAAGCGGTCGGGGATTTAGCTCAGTGGCATAAGCGCCTGCCCAGCAAGCACGAGTTCCTGAGTTTGATCCCTGGTACCAAAAAAAAAGAGTCATTGCTAAAAATAACCGTGATGGTCAATTTATGCCTTTTCTTCCTTCTGTTAACAGGTCAAATATATGTGTGATAAATGTTAAGAAAAGGACCGAGTTAACAGTGTTCTATACTTTATAACATAATGGTTCCCATAGCAGACTCCAGGAAGATAGGTTTCCTTACTTTCCTGACTCGTTTTCAGTACTGGAAAAACACCTTTAATTGTGCTTATTCAGACAGGTGGGAAGCGGTAAGCGAATCCCAGACCCAGTTTAACTATCCCACACGGGCAGCACCCCAGGGTGCATTACTTCCTGCCCGCCTCTCCCCAGGCGTGGACCAGCGCGGGCGAAAGTGCTCCGACCCTGACCCCTTAGCGGTTGGAACTGAAGTCCAAACCCTGAACCCACACCTCCCGAATGCCGTCCCTCCGTTAGTTACTGTAAACGGACAGGAGCTCGGGGTCTGCCTGGGGCTGCCCGAGACTGGCGTCATTCCCTGTGCCGCCTCCCCCGCACAGCAGCACAGCTCCGGAGCTGCGAGGGAGGGGCGGGGCCGGCGGCGAGGGGCGGGGCCGGCGGCGAGGGGCGGGGCGGGGCCGGCGGCGTCTGACGTCCGCGCGTCGCCCGCCGCGGAGCAGCGCGGGAGCGGGTGGCTAAGCGGGTGAGGCCGGCGGGCCCGGGTCGCGGCAGGGAGGCCCTGCGGGTGGCCGGGCCAAGCATGGGAGGCGTGGGGTGTCAGGCGGGGGCAGGGGACCGGAGGCGGATCCCGCCTGCCGGCCAGAACCGCCGTCAGGACGTCGCGCCCGGGCCGCTGACCCGGTTTTCTTCCGTGGAGCGAAGTAAAATAAGCGTTTCTCTGTTTAGGTGCGAGGACCCAAAATGACAATCCAGTGGGTGGCAGTTGCAACCTTTCTGTATACCGAAATAGGACTCATTTTACTCTTCTGTGTACCTTTCATTCCTCCTCAGAGGTAGGAAACCCTCCCATCGTTACCAGTACATAACTTGCTTAGCTCCTGCGGCGTGCCGAGTGTGCTACAGAAGACGTTAAGATAAAAACTTTTGAGCGCTCATTGTGTAAAAGGTGCTCTTTAGAAAACATCGCGTTGCATAATTATGTGTACAAATGAAATAGTTATTCTCTCACTTCTCAAAAGATAAGAGCCAAGTCTTTTTGGTTCTGTGAATTACAGATACACTAAAACAGTGCTTATACCTTTTACACCTAGTCTGTCAGGTCATCAGATTTTACTTTTTATAGCCCTGAACGGAAACAGGTAAATAAATATAAGTGGATAAATTGTTTGCAGTACAGCCATGGGTACAAAAATGTTAGATTGGGACACTTAAATGGCAATTAGAAGATGAAACGAAAAAATGATTCTTAATTTTAGACTTAAGCAAAAAACAAATTTCATGAGTGGCAATTTTACCACATTTTATTTCCCTCAAAATTAATGAATGTATATTAAAAGGACTAAATATGAAAAGTATCAAACCATGTCATTTAGTTCTTCTAAACATTTTAACCTAAGCACTGACTGACTTTATCCTTGTAGCAATCTACTTGTTTTTAGACCCAGAAGTTCAATAGTGTGGATGATGAAACAGGTTTGTAATACAAATGTTGCAAGGAATTTGTTTATGCTCATGATATTAAAAAAAAATCATAAGCGAGATCCTAGAGATAACCCATTTTATTTAAACTATGGTTTACTACAAACCTGGGACTGGAAGAAAACAAAAGTTTTATCTTGGTTCAGAATCCAGGTAGTCTTAAAACTCTGCCCTCCAACTGGGTTTCAACTCACTTCTGTTCTTGTCTATCAGCTACCATGGCTTTTTTCTTCCTTACTAAAGAAAAAAAAGTAAATCATTACTATGGAGGATTTTCAGTTATTTCACCCAACTCATTTTGTGGATCACATACTAAGATTCAGAAGAGAGCAGATGACCTGGCTGAGGTCCCCTAACTGATCTGTGACAGTCCCCAGGAAAGTATGACTTTCAGTGCAGTGCTATCTGCTGTTCACAATGACTCTCTTGTCGGATACTCGGTAGCGCCTGTTTTCCTTTCTGATTGTACTGATAAGAAGCCCATGTATTGAAGAGAAAAAGCTTGTTTATAACATCTAATTTATGAAGAAGGCTTAAGGATTTGAAAAGCAACTTTTGTCAGTTGATCTTTTTCTCGATCTAAGTAATTCATAAATTATAGATTAGCCTTTTTCATACTGCCCAATACAGTTTTTACCTATTCTAATCAAATACATATTAGATATGTATATATGTGTACATAATATAAATTCTCTCATATACAAATATAGGAAAATATGATGTTTATTATATGTCCCTGAAGTGTGTGTATTAACATCTTTACCTTTTTTATGTATATTTTTAAAGTAATCTTCAAAGAAAAGGCTTCAGTCTTCCTTTAGTCTCTGGTCTTTTCTCAGATGACTCAGTGTTATAGGGAGTGCTCAGAAATCATGCCTCGGTTTATATTCCAACAGTTGCTAATGCTCTTCAATGCATTAAGACTATTTATATTTCCATCTCATTTTCTCTGTGTTCAGATCTGTATCTGGATAGAAGGTAAATCATATGAAAATTACATGAGTATTTACAAATACAAAAATTACACAAGGTATATTTGTAACTTTTTTTTCACCTTATATGGCTGTGTGTATAGTAGTAATTTTTTTACACCTTTCATGGTTGGAGTAGAGTAACTTTTACCTTGAGATATTAAAAATGTACTACATAAAAATAAATGTGCAGAGATTTAGATAAGCTAGCTACACCTGAAATGTTGCTAAGTGTTAAACCAATAGACTTTGCCATTTGTGACTATAAGAATCCTTTTTTTAAAGATTTTTTTGGGGTTTTGGATTTGGGGGAGTTTTGTTTTGTTTGTTTTTGAGACAGAGTTTCACAGTGTAATTCCGGAAGCCATTTAAACTTACTGTGTAGTGCAGATTTGCCTCAGACTCATGGCTGTCCTCCCACCTCAGCTTCCCAAATACTGGGAATACAGGCATCCCATCACCATGTCTGGCACCTCTTGTTAAGTTTTTTCTGGTGTATGTTTAAGTTATTTCCATTTTAGAATGTTTAAGCCATAAGACAGAAGTTAATCAGTCTAAGGTTATTAAACTTTAAAAGATTGCTATTTTATTAGGTATTGTCATATCAAATAATTAATAAATATTAAATTTCTCCAATTCTTTTTACTTGCTGTGCTTTTACTAAAATGTTACTGAAGTATTTCAAAATCCACTTAATGTAATTGCTTTACAGATGGCAGAAGATTTTGTCATTTAATTTATGGGGTAAACTTGCAACACTTTGGAACAAAGCTTTCCTAACAATTATAGTCCTCTTGATTGTTCTGTTTCTAGGTAAGTAATAAATTCTTTCTATTGAATATGCATAACTAGTTCTTTTTAAACGAATTCTTTGATTTTTAATTAATAGATATTGTTGACCTATAGTTGACTTTGTATTATATATTAATAGATACTGACATCTTCATACACAGTTGATACTCTTCTGTTTGCTCAACCGAAAGTTTCAGGAGAGTGCCATGGTTCTTAAAATCTTTTAGATTGTTTTAAGATTTAGATTATTTTGGGGGCTGGGGATTTAGCTCAGCGGCATAAGTGCCTGCCTTGCGAGCAGGCAGTCGTGTGTTCAATCCCTGGTACCGATAAAAAAAAAAAAAAAAAAAAAAAGGAAGTTAAGATTTAGATTATTTTAAGGTAGTTATATCAGTGCATAGCTTTTCAGAGTTACCAGTTGTTATTGCTCATGATTACTCGTTATACAGTGCAGTGTTACAGTGGTATCCTAGAGTCTTACCTGTTAGGAAATAAAGGAATAGAATCTTTATACTCTAAAAAAAGATGCTTAGATGCAGGTTATGAATCTTGATTGGATCCTGGTATCTTAATAAGTATATGTAAAATATTTGAAAAACCAAAAAATCCTAAATCCAAAACACTTCTAGTCCTATACATTTTGGATGAGGGATAGGTTTTCATCTTGTTTAAAATCATATTTTAGAGCTTTAAAGATTCTTCAAGACAGAAGTACGTGTCTCTTAATAATTACTGTGGTTTTTTTGAAAATAATATTGAGTTCAAAGAGATTGACTTCTCTGAGATCATTCAACTACTACTTGAAGCATCACTTCTTGGCAGTTTGGTGCTTTTTTTTTTCATCTTCTTCTTTATTTTATTTTCTGTTTTTTTTGAGACAGAATCTCACTATGCAGTTCACACTGGCCTTGAACTCACTGTGTCACTAGACTAGTAAGTTCATGCCTTGAACTTACTATGATCTTCCTGCCTCAGCCTCTCAAGTGCTGGGATTAAAGGCATTTACCACCACATTCTTGGTCAGCAATTTGCCTTTTGATAAGAATATGCTCTTGTCAGAATTCCCTGACATCTGTGTTGTGGGTTAAGTTTTCCTGGGGCCAGCCTGGGACTATAGTCACCATGTCTGACTTTGTGTTGTGAGAAGATCTATTTCATGTTCCACACTGCCAGCCTCTGAAATAGAATCAATCGTCTTTATAAAATTGAACAGGGTATAGAATAATTAAGAACAGTAAGGTAATTATATCAAATAATTGTAATTGTGTTAAGTTGTGAATGCATTTGTAGTTCATTTCAAAATGTCAGTGTTCATAGTCTTAATATTAGTGCAGTGAATCTCCAGCTATATCTTGAAGCATAGTAAACTAGTAAAGAGATAAAGAAAACTAGTCCCTACCCTACTACAACTATCTAGATGACCTTTGGGATGGCATTTCATCTCTGAGTTATTCATCTTTGACATAAAGAGAAAGATAATCTCAGCATCTCTAGCTAGCTCTAGAAGAGTATTGTGAAATTCAAACTCTCAAAGTTATCCTCAGAATTTCTGCTGAAGGCTACCACTTATCTGTGTAAGAAAGAAAAGTTGTGGTTCAGGTTCTTTTGTGTACATGTACCAGAAGCCAAAGTGTACACGAACAAGGAGAAATTATAATGAAGTACAAGGTTTCAGAGCAGCCCCCGGAAGGAAGCCAGCCATATTCCAGGGAGGGACTGGTTCTGAGAACTGAAGTGTCCTTCTCATCCCTGCTTGTCTCTTTGTTTCCTTCATTCTTATCTCTGTGGATTCTGATTCTCCATCTTCAAAACAGAAAATAGGTACACATAGCTGCCAGATGTTAGCATTACAACATACACAGTATAAGGATTAATTAGCCATCTCTGAATCCCAATTTTAGTTTCAAGAAAAAAATAGGGACAGTTAGCATCAGGTAACTCCTCTTCATCTGGAATGCTATAGCCAGAGTACCACAAATCATGACAGCTGGCTGGACCCTACATCTGTAGGTAGAATGGGTAATTCCGCTCCATTAACATCACAGGTGGTTAGGGCAGCCAGATAGGACTTACTTCTAAATTTCAGAGTCTTCATCTCAAAATGGATTTCTAGCACCTGCTTTCTTAAGGTGTTTTAAGGCTTACATACAGTAATACATTGGAATGCGTAATGCAGAGTCCTCCACTAAAACAAAAATGACATGTATAATGTTTGACTAGTAGATTACTTGAGCTTAATTTGTATTTTGCTGTGGAATATATTTCATTTTTCTTACTGATTCAGTCTCTTTAAAGTAACTGTTATAAGTGTATTCCTAGAGTCAGTACTAACAATGTGTATGCATGTGTGTATCAGGGTACAAATTTAAGTCAGAAAGGAAGTAGGAAACAGAAAAATGTGTACAAAGTGTGATCAAAAATACAGTGAATGTTCAAGAACATTTGTAGTTTATTATTAATTCCACTCAGAATACTACCTTCACTTCAGACACACTTAGCCCATCATTCTTGTCACTTTCTGAAACAGTTCTCAGTGTTCCCTTTCATGAGTTCTGGAAGTCCCCTTACAGGATTGTCTTCGTGCTGTTGTGGCTGCCTCAGCATCCTGAAAGATTCAAAATGTTTACCGTTCATGGTCATTTTGACCTTAGGGAAGAGCCTGAAGTCACATAGTGCGAAATCCGATTTAAAAGATGGATGAGAACAAACTGTAATGTTTTCATGAACCTCCCTTTCCACTAGATGACAGTTAGCAGCTGTATCTCTGTATTTTTTAACATATCTCATAGAGTCTTCCTGAAAGAAGACTTCCAGAAAGTGACAGGAAAGATGGGATTTGTGCATTCAATGCAAGGGGAGGTATTTCACGGCAGTTAATGGCAGTTATGTTTTTTACTGGGAGTTTTTTTTTTTTTTAGATTTATACATTCATGAGATACTTTGATTACCCTTTATAGGTGAGAGATTGGATGGTTAGTGTTAGTAGGAGTACATTCCAGGAATTAGGAAGTTTTTATAAATGTGACCCTTAAAAAAAGACTATCTTCATGTGACTTAATAGAAAATTGACTACGTGTCATACCGTTCCCTTATCATTGACTCCATTCCATTTTTTCAGACATAGCTTCCTTAATATTTTGTACAGGTGATCTACTCTACAGGTAGTTTATACAACCATTTATTCTCAAACTTCACTAATATTGACTAGCATTTTTCTTTGATTGCTTTGTAGTGGTCAACATGCTCTTACTATATTATTAGAGCAATTTGAAAAATCATAAAGAGAAAACTGCCAGTTAAATAGAGGAAACAGTACTTTGGGAAGCTGAGGCAGGAAAATCACAAGGTTGAGCACAACCTGGATAACTTAGCAAGATCCTGTCTCAAAAGAGAAAAAGAGCTCAGAGTATTTTCCAGTACAAAAGCACTGAATTCAACCCCCCATACCACGGAGAGGAAAATAAGAAAAAGAGGAAAGCAGGCGCAGTAGCACAGGAAGCACCTCAGGAAGCCACAGCATGAGGGTAACAGATTGAAGCCAGCCTAGCAACTTTGTGAGATCCTGTCGCAAAATTATAGAAAGGGCTGGGGTGTGGCTCATTGGTAGAATGCTTGTTTGCCTGTCATTCCCCCGTACTGTTTTTTTTTAAAGAACTTAAAAGTGGCTGTTTTATATAAATCTTTATAGATAAACTCATGAAAACCTGGAGTGAGAGTACAAAAACATTATCTACCAAGTGAATCCCAGTAGATCTCGCTAACTTTTACAGACTAGTTCTCAAAAAAGAAGTATAAATTTGCAATGAAGGACTACTACTTCAGAAGAACATAAAACTAGATTATTTGCAAGCAGCTTTACCACCACTTTGAAAACACAGATAATACCAGTATTGCTTTAACTGGCCCAGAAGTTAGAAGAAGAAAACTGTCAGCAGATTTTAGGAAGCTAGGTAAAAAGCTCTAGAATTGAAAGTAAGCCACAACAAACAAACCAAATAGTATGACTGATAGTATATGACACGGAATTCTTCCAAGCAGCTTATGTTTTAAGAACAAAAAGAATTATAGTAAAATATGAAACTTCAGTTAGTAATTATATTGTTGGAAACTTCAAAACTATTTTGTATGTGTTATAGCACAGAGCAAGTAAGTTTTAATAGTATTAAAAGCTAGGATCTTCAGTAACAGAAACAACATAAAAATATAAAGCCAAAAAATTAAAAATTTTCCAGTTTTGGAGTATACTATTTGGGTTTTAGCTTGGAGCGATACTAATGTGGGACTAAATGGATGTAGGTTACTCAGTAATGTGAAATGCTAAATGCTACTGTTATTTAAATGGGTTAATTTAATTTGATATGAGTTTCACCTTAATTAGTTAAAATTCCGGGAGGCTGAGATTGCAAGTTTGAGCCTAGCCTGAGCCAATGAGTGATTCAGCAAGCCTTTGGCAGAAAATTAAAAAAGGGCTGGGGATATAGTTCAGTGGAAAGGCCCTGTGTTCCAAATCGAGTACCACAAATAGAAACTAAATAAAATGAAATTACTTTTTAAAAAGACGTAGGAGTGCTGCTTTTAGCAATGACAAAGAAAATCTGTATTATGTGACCCCTTCCATGATTAAAAATTGTGAACCCTGGGTAAAATATGAGAAAAATATTTGATAATGTAGCCAAAAGCAAGCAGAAGAGATCAGTCTGTCCTAAAAGAGGAAGTCACACTAGAAATGATCCCTTTTATATAGCTGCTTTTCCAACCACTTGACGGTCTACATGGCATGGGCAGCTGCAACTCTCAGGCAGGTGGCTGCTCAAAAGATATGAGAAAGGCCAAAAATTAAGGGGAAAAGCCCAAGACAGGTGAGAATCCCAAAAGAAAACCAAAGATATGTATGAAACACCTTCCCCAAGTCCTTGGTTGACTCTTGAACTATAGATTTGTAGGGAAGATTCCAAGGGACTCATGGGGACATTAACAACCAGGAAGCACCAAGGACTGACCACAAATTTTGCCTGCTGCCTACCAAGAAGAGCCAGTTTGAAATTTGAGTGTTATGTTAGATGGACTCAATAAAGACTTTGAAACTTTTCTACTAAAATTACAGAAAGGCCTTAGGAACAGAACAGAACTGTGTCCTGTGAATGAGAAATTTACCGAAGATTTACCCTTTAAAAAATTAAGTAGTTTCGATAACCCACACCTATAATCCCAACTGTCCAGGAGACTGCAGCAGGAGGATCACAAGTTTGAGCCTATCCTGGGCAACTTAGTGACTTAGCAAGACTCTGTCTCAAAGTTTTTAAGGATTTTTAAAAGGGCTGGGTACATCATCCAGTGCTCTGACAAGTCTCAATGAATACAAAGGATTGAAATCATGCAGATGATATGAAATAGAAATGAATAGCAAATGCCATAAAATTGCTGCATGTTTGGAAATTGAATAAGACCCTTGTCAGTAGCCCTTGGGTTAAAGAGCTCACAAGGAAAATTAGAAAGTATTTGAAGTGAATAATGAAAATATATCAAAATTTGGGTATGTCATTAAAGCCACTGCTTACAGGAAAATTTATAGCTTTTAATGTTTATTAGAGAAAACAGTTTAAATGACTGATCCTAGTTTCTACATTAAGAATATTCACTCATTTTTTTAGATTAATAAATTTGAATTAGGAAAATTTCTTATTGTGATGAATATGATCTACCCAAAGAACCTTAAGCTAGCATCATACCTTTTTAAATATTGAAAACTTCCCCCATAAGACTGAGAACAAGGCAAAGATACTCATTTTTACTATTTTTGTTCATTTAAGTAATAAATGTTCTAACGGAAGTAATAAGGCAAAAAAATGGAATAAGTTTGCAAAGGATGAGATGAAACAGTACTTATTTGCAGATGATAGGATTTTGGTTGTGGAGAGTTTGTTTTGTGGTACAAGGGCTACACCTAGGGCTTTTCATTAAGCTGCCTCTTCAGCCCTTGTTTTGTGTTTTGTTTTGAAACAGTCTCTCACTGAGTCATCCAGGCTGGGCTCTAACTTGTTTTTCTTTTTTTTTTTTTTTTTTTTTTTTTTTGTCTTTTTCATTTTTATCGGTACCGGGGATCGAACTCACGACTGCCTGCTTGCAAGGCAGGTGCTTATGCCGCTGAGCTAAATCTCCAGCCCCCTGGGCTCTAACTTGTGATCCTGCTGCCTCAGTGCCAGGATTGTAGGCCTGTGCTACCACCCCTGGCTGTTACGATTGTTTTAGTAGAAACTCCTTAAGTATCTTCAAGGAAAGTACTATGTAAAAGAAATTAATGTATTACACAAAGTATAAGGTCAACATACAAAAATTATGAGTCTATACTACAAATAGTAAACAACTGGAACATGAAACTTTTAGAAATTCCTTTTATAAGTTTACCAAGAAGCCTTAAATAATCTTTATAAATGATATATAAGAACTCTATACTAAAAGCTACAAAGACATTGCTGGTAGAAATTTAAAAAGATCAAAATAAATGGAGATATTTTCATCAATTGGAAAATTCAATATTAAAATGTTCATTCTTCCAGAATCGAACAGTGCATTTTGCAGGATCCCATTTAAAACTCAATGGGCATTTTTGTGAACATTGACCAATTGATTCTAAAATTTATACAGACAACCAGAAAACTCTTCACAGCTAAATTAAAGACATCTTTTCAGATACAAAATTGGAAAACTGATTGCAAAAAAAAAAAACAAACATAAAATAGACTTTGAGTAAAGCTAATTATATTCTCCATGATATGGGTGGGAATAATCCAGTCATGTGGAGGCCTTAACAGGACCAAGAGTGACTTCCATAAGCAAGAAAGAATTGTGCCAGAAAATTGTATCTGTCCCCCTGCATCTACCCTGCAGGTCTCCTGCAGGTTATGGATTTACCAAGTCATCATGTGAGGCAATTCCTTAAAATCAACCAACTAACCTATCTCCTCCCCACTCCTTTCCGCTTCCTCTCTTCACACACATTATCAGTTTTGTCTGCATGGAAAACCCCAGCTGATACATTCTCTTCAAACTAAGTAATCAAATTTGGCTTAACGCATGAAAGATTCCTACCAAAAGTATTAAGCTTGATTCAGTCACATCTTTATAGAAAGGCATTTTATATCAAAAGACTACAGAAGGATTAATTACATGTAATAAGTGCTCATTCGGGGGCTGGGGATTTAGCTCAGCGGCATAAGCACCTGCCTTGTAAGCAGGTGGTCATGAGTTCGATCCCCGGTACCGATAAAAAAAGTGTTCATTCTCGGCTTGGAAAAAAATTACAGAAATTTGAGGAACAAATAAAACAAATAACTTCAAAACTGAATGAAGGATCTGAATACACATTTCTCCACAGATGATACACAGATGGTCAGTAAGCACTTGAAAAGATGTACATCATTAACCATCAGAAAATGCCACTTTTATTATCTGTAATAAAAAAGACAGTAACAAATGTTGCTGAGGATGTGGAGAAACTGAAACTGCCCGACACTGCTGGTGGGAATGTAAAATGGTACGACTGCTTTGAAAAACAGTTTCACAGAAAGTTTAACACAGAGACGTGTGTTGTCAGTAGTTCTACTCCTAGGTATATACTATGAGGAATAAAAACATAGCCACACAAAATGAGACCATGGAGATTCTTAACAGCATTCCCATAATAGTCAAAAAGCAGAAACAACCCAAATGTCCATCAGCTGATGCATGGATGTAAACAAAAAGTATCATATCTCTACAGTGAAATAAAATTTATGTATTAAAAAGTAATGAAGTACTGATATGTACTGTAACAGATGAACCTTGAAAGCATTATGCTAATGAATGAAAATAGATTAGTTTATCTGTATAAAGTATACATGTAGATAGAAAGGTTGTTAGGAGTTGGAGTAAGGGAAGCATGGATACCATTTCTTTTGGGGATGATGGAAATGTTATGAAATTAAATGGTGATGGTCATGTAACTTTGTGAACATACTGAAAAGGTCGTTTTCCTGATGTGTGAATTGTACCCCAGTAAAGCTGCTATAGAGTCAAATAGCCAAAATGGCTGCAGTTCTCTAACAAGAATCCTTTTCCTGATGTGGCAAAAATGCTTTCCCAAGAATGCTGAGTGTCACATGAAAGGAGTATGGTAGTAGTAGAACTTGCTTTTGCCTCTGCTGGTAGATCCAAAGCAGATCTCCAGGACATGTAAGAATCTAGTGACTAAGAATGCACTAAATGTAGATCCTAATAAGCTCATATCTACTTCCTACTGGAGGGAAACAGTTCCCCTAGATCCGAAATGCATCACAGCTGGAAGCATCAAAGGACCAGCTACCTAACATGTCCAGTAGGCAGTGCCACTGCTTCTAGTTGGGCAAGTGTGTGCTGCTGCAAGCCAGGTCCCCATTTTCATAAACATATACCAGTGGGAATTTCAGTTCTACCAATTATTTCTAAAATATTAGTTATTTAAAGTAATACACAGAATAGAATGCTAGTACTATAAGAGAAATAGTATCCTTTCTTGGGATCGATATAATGAGATAGTTCACCTGTTAACTGTTAATAGGTTAAATTTTAGTTATTAGGGATAGGGTAAAGGATAAAATAGTTTGCAGGCAGACAACAATAGTATGATAGTAATTCTCTGGGTGATCTGAAATAAACTGCCGTAGTAATTTGCAGTCTGCCACTACTCTCCATTTGCAAAGTACCTACTGTGAACCTGATACTTCCCTGGGTACTGAAGGAAAAAAGCCCCTAGCAAACTCCATCATAGAAAAGCTTGATACTTTAGTCTAAAATTGCCTCTTATTTTTAATAATCTTATATTCTTAAAAACCAAAAGTAATGTTTTCTGCTTCCGTAATAGATGCTGTCAGAGAAGTAAGGAAATACTCCTATGCGCATTCCCTTGAAAAGGTCTCAAACGCCAAAACTAGCGCCTATGAACATACGCAGATGAAACTTTTCAGATCGCAAAGAAATCTTTACATTTCGGGATTTTCATTATTTTTTTGGCTGTAAGTAAAACCACACTTTTAATTTTAAAACATTATTTAGATTTCTCTTTTCTCATTTTTTTCCCCTACCCTTAGCTACAGTCATTTCACTGTCCTAACATCTTGACCAAAAGACCTCACATGATATTCTGGAATAAATAATAGCAACAGCTTACAGTCTGCCAGTCCCATAAGTCCTTGAATGACCTGGCCCTTGCCTCTCTGGGTCTTCTCTCACACTGTTCCCTGATGTGTCTGATACAGTCCCCCACTCCCTTTCACTTTTATATTTTTATTTCTGCTTATACTAAAGCCTGATGGAGTGTGACAGTGTGCCCTGCTCTTTCCCACAGGGGCTTTGTTCAGGCTGTTTTCTCTGACAAGTCTTTTTCCCTCTTCATCTGGCTAACTCCTGTTCTTCCTCAGCTCCTTCTCAGGAGACTGCTCTGGCCGTTGTTCCTTCCAAAGTGGGTAGATCTTCTGCTCTCTTGGAATATGTATATCCTTAACTTTATAGCATCATTCACAGTTGTAGTGAAATACTGTTTTAAAGCCATGCCTCTAACTAGAATCCAAACTCCATAAGGGCGTTTTCTGCCCTGAGTTCATTTTCTGCAGTGTCTCCAGCACCTGATTCAGTGTTTAACACTTGACAGTTCTTCAGGAAGTACCTGCAGAATGAATAATGAAGAGATTAATTACAGTTCCTCACAATGGAAGTTACACATAAACATGTGAACAAGCAGTTTTTAGGCTTGGCCAGCCTTATACAATACTCTTTGGTAAATTTTGACATAGGCCACAAATTTTTTCTTCTCTTTCTGGTCTTGCTACACTGATTGAGATTTTCCTCTTTCTACTATTACCAGCTGGGGAACTCTACCAGAAAAATAATAAGTACCACTGTAACAAGGCCCTGGATTCAATGCCCCCAGAAGCACAAAAAAAAAAAAAGAAAGAAAAAGTGCCACTAAACCTGTATATTTGTCTATTCCCCTGCATATTCCAATTTTAGTTTTCTAACAGAGACTCCAAAGGAATGAGACATAGGCTTTAGCTGAGACTTAAATTTGTCTTTTTTTTTTTTTTTTGATCTGTGCCATTTCGAGTATCATCTCCTCCACCACCCCTCTGTGCCTGACTGCGAGTCTCTGGACTGTGGCTGTTTATTTTAAAGTCAGGGCTTCTGGTGGCTGGTTAGTCTGAGTATAAGCTATTCTGATTTTTTTTCTCCTCAGGGTGTTGAGACGTCTGGTTTCACTTATTACTCAGCTGGCAAAAGAACTGACAAACAGAACAGTACTTAAAACTCAAGCAGAAAATACTAATAAAGCTGCCAGAAAGTTCATGGAAGAGAATGAAAAACTAAAGCGGGTATTTCATTTTCTTTGTAATCATTTATAGGAATAGTGTACTATCCCAAAGAAGTGATGTATTATTTTTCAGCACCAAAAGGAATATTTTCATAATTTATTGGTAGAAAATGGCCACAAACAACAATATAATTCTACTGAATGATTGTTTCAAAAGTATTTTGGCTGTTCTGGTGATTTGCTTGTTCCCAACAGTAGGTTAATGCCATTGGACCTTTTCCTATGACTCAAAGATAAAACATTCTCTGACTGTGAATTTTTATTTCTGCATTACTATTAATTTTATTTTATAACCTAACATAATTCTTTATAATAATTCTATTTCTGTTTCTTTTTCAGTGAGATCATTTATATAGAAAAGAGAGGGAGTTCATTGTTGCTAGATTAATGATTGCAAGTCATATTTAAAGTCTTTAATCTAATGATGCTGATGTGTTTTCTTTGGGAACCCTATGCGTTCCTTCCCCTGACATTTAGGAAGTGTGTGGATCACATACTTATTTTTACCCTGTTAACCAAAAAGAGCCACAAATGAAATATGGAAAATTAATTCGGGTATTGTTTTCTTAAATTTAAAATGTAGGAGTCAGATCTCATAGCAGTGCCTTTAGTACATATTAAGGCTCATGCTCGTATTGCCTCTTAAGAAAAAGAATCAGTAGAACTATTTAGGAGTTAGACAAATTTTCTTAAAGAAAGTATTCCTAAGTCAGGCGTAGTGGTGCATACCTGTAATCCCAGCATTCAGGAGGCTGAAGCAAATGGATCACTGTAAGTTCCAGGCCAGCCTAACTTCATAGTGAGTTCAAGGCCATCCTAAACTGCAATACTGAGACTCTGTCTCAAAAAAAAAAAAGTGTTTGTAAAATGATGGAATATGATTGTTTCCTATAATGAAATGCAAACAGCATTATACATTACAGTTATGTAAGAAGTATTTTTTTAGTCTACCCTAGAGAATTAAAATCATTGTGTTAAGTCCAGAAGCCTTGCCTCTTACACAGAGAGCTATAAGCACTATCATTTATCAATTCTAAATGAGTTAAGTATTATGTGACACAATATAAAGCTTTCTAAAATCTATTAAATGATGCAAAACTACTAGCAAAAGGAATAATGCTACACTATTATGATCACCCATTCAAAACACATATTTTACTTATTAAAGTTTTTGTCACAGTCTGTAACAAAAAGTTTAAAATCTTTCTTCATAGAAACAGAATTCAAAAGTGTTTCTTTAAGCTGACCATCACCAGCATCTTTTAAAGAACCTTTTAAAGTATAAGAATTAGTTTCTGTTTTGCTTTGTTTTGTCCCATTTTGAAATGGCATTGATCTGGGCCAGGGATATAGCTAGTGGCATAGCGCCTGCCTGGCAAGCACAAGGTTGTGAGTTCAATTCCCAGTACCAAAAAAAGAAAAGAAAAAGCATTGATCTGTTGATGGCTTGTAAATTTCCTTTTGTAAGTACAGTTTTTAGAAATCAAGCTGTTGGTATTTTCTGTATTTAAAAGCAAACAAACGTACCATTTTCTGCTTTTTTGGAATGTTTCAGTAACATAATAACTTCACTTTTTACCTTGAGGTTATTTCAATAAATAATAGGTAGAGCTTATAGGTGTAATCCCATTTCGTAGGATAAAAATAAAACCATAGTCCTAGAAGCTTTGATTACTATGTGATGACTATAAACTCAAAGACACACAGCCATGTACTTACTGGAAGTATTCATCATGTACCCTTATGGATTTAAAATTATAAACATCATTATGTTTAAAAAAAAATCACCATCTTCAAAGCATTTCTGGAACTGTTAGCAAAAGCCAGTTACCCTTGCATGGATATTTATTTGATGGTCACTGGTTCCTATAATCCTTTTCTCCTTTTTTTTCCCTTTCCTTTTCTTTCCTTTCCTTTTGTCCCATGCTATCATAGTTCCCTGCTTCTTATATAGCTGTGACCTTTTGAGTGGTCCTAGATCCATCAGAGGAAGTACAGATAGGCTGGGGTGGACGCAGTGCACAGTGGGAAGGAAGTCTATAAACTGAACACTCAGTGCTCACAGTGAAGTAATTGACCAGTAAAGTGACAAGAAGGCTATAGGTGAGAATGTCAAAGATTTCAGTATCTAAATACTTTTTGTGGTTTTAAAATACTAGCCAAGGTAGATACAGTTGTTACAGTACCTCTTCATTCTCTGTCAGAGGTATATTACCTAGTGGAAGAGCATTATCCTGAAAACCAAGAGACGTGGTGATTAGCACTTAGAGGCAAGTTCCCTCCATACATTCTGGCTTTCAAGGTTCCTTAGCTGTAAACAATAATCAACACTTCGCCGAGTATCACCTCAAATGCTTCTCAGTTAAGATACTAACTTTTAATTCTCACAATGGTTCCACTTTATTATCTGAATTTTATAGATGAGGAAATAGAGGTATAGGAAGGTGAAGTGGCATGCAAATAATCATACAGCCAAGAAGTAACCGAAAACTGAAACCAAGCCGCCTGACTGTAGGATCTACACTTGCAGCCGCATTATTTTGTGCCTTCAGCTCTTGTGCCAGCCTATAAAATGACTCATTTGTGCCTTAGACCCCTTTCTGTTTTGATACTTGGTTAAATAAAGGTAATAATTTTGAAAGATCAATCAACTTTTAATTTAACTGCTTTAAAATGACAGGATGAAGGCTCAGTTCTCACTGATTCCTTCCCAGCCACTTAACAAGGTGGGGTAGGGTAGGTGGGACCGTGACCACTTGTGTTCCTATAGCTGGTAGCTATTGAATTTCAGACTTGAGAGCTCTTGACCTTTCTCCAGCATGAAGTTACACATAATAAATCTGGACAGTTTTACAATAATGAAAGCTTATTTACTAGACTGACACAAAGCCAAGTCTTCTAAGTCAGTGGCATAATAATTTAACCAGTCACTGTAAAATTCCTACAGCTCAATGGTTCTCTTCCAATTTGGGTAATCATCAGAGATTGTATGAACTGAATTCAGTGAAATAATAGTGAGAATTATTTCAAACTTGTGATAAGCAGCAAATTAAAAGAGGCTTGGGGAATTTTTTTCCTTGTGTTGCACTTTGAAAAAATTTTTATTTCAGAAGATATGAGGCTCCTTCAGTTTAAAATATACTTCAATCTCCTAGTTATAATCCTAATTAAGATTACATGAGAGAGGGGCTGGGGATTTAGCTCAGCGGCATAAGCACCTGCCTTGCAAGCAGGCAGTCATGAGTTCGATCCCCAGTACCGATAAAAATGAAAAAGACAAAAAAACCCCATATAAACAAAAAAAAGATTATATGATATATACATTAGAGTTTTAATTCCTGCTTCAAGCAGCCTAATCATGTGCTATTTTATGCTGGTTTTAGCCTTTTTACTGGATTGAAGTTACTTGACAGTAGAAAGCATGTTTCTTTCACATCCTTTCACATCCCTTGTAGTACCTTACATTATAAAATATGTATATTAGTTATTTGCTCCATGAAACTCCTTTTTTGTTGAATGTATCCACTTACATTAGAAAATGATTCAAATGATTCGATTCAGTCTATAGTAGATAGTATTCTCATAGTTCTGTTTAAAATTCTCCTGTTGTGTTCTTGACTATGGAAGCTGCCCCTTTATTTAGTCAACTGTCCCATGCAAGTGGATGCATGCATTATTTTTAAACATTCATTTACCATTCTCCATGGTACTTTTATTTCTTTTTGGGTTTTTTGGGGTTTTTTTGTTTTTTTGTCTTTTTCATTTTTATCGGTACCAGGGATTGAACTCACGACCACCTGCTTGCAAAGCAGGTGCTTGTGCCGCTGAGCTAAATCCCCAGTCCCGGTACTTTTATTTCAGTCGTTTCTTTATTCAGATCTTTTTTTTTTCTTTCCTAGCAAAGAAAAGCTACAAATATTTTTATACCAGAATATATTTTAAAATATAAAGAATATTATGAAGGATTAACTGAACAAAAGTAATTTGGATACTGTTGAATGGAAATTAGAATTTTCTAACCATAGAGATGGCCCTGTCATTTTCACTTACTGACAACATTAAATTCAAATATAGAATTTTTCTATATAAAAATAGTCTAAATAGTGCTGGGAATATGGCTCAATGGCACAAGCACCTGCCTGGGAAGCGCAAGGTCATGAGTTCAGTTCCCAGTACGGAAAAAAAAAGTAGCTCTTGTCAGAACATGAAGACCTTCCAATTGCTATCAATATTAACATGAGAACTATTTTTCTTTCCTTAGATTTATACACTTAATTGGGGAAGACAGATTCATGTTATTTACCTAAATCATTCTGAAAATGTAATTGTAATTATAGCCTAACCAGAAATTCTTACCTTCTTTTTCGGATATTTTACCATAAGAAGAAATTTTGTATGTGTTTGCGAAATATTAACTCTCTTTTAGCAAAAGTACCTTGTAGAAATTATAAAGTGCTGAAAAGGACAAATAAATAAAGACCAGTAAATTTAGACAGGTTACTTGGTCTCCTTCCTGTAAGCGTATCTGCCCATTGCAATGTAAGCTGACTTCTCCCTCTGACTTCCTTTTGTGGTAGATCTTGAAAAACCCTATCCCAGGTGAGGAACACATTTTGGAAGCAGAAAATAAAAAACTAGCAGAAGACCAGGAAAAACTGAAAACTGAATTAAAGAAGACTTCAGATGGTAACTGTGTGTGCATGTGAAAAAGTAAAAAGACTAACATGTTTTATGCTGTTTCATTTCACTGTTTTCCCTAAAACAAAACTAATGCCTAAATGTCCTTCTGGCCAAAATATTAAGGGTGACCTATTTATAAATTCCTGTTCAAATACTAACATAAAACATTGTTTCCGCCAAGAGAAACATGTTCTGTTGTACTGAAAAACAAGTAGGTGTTTCAGTTCTGTGTTGTAAATACAAATGTTCCTGCCTTAGCCAAAGGGCTGTGTTCTTGGAAGTTACTTATAAACATACTTTTCTAAAATGAGTCACATTTTTCCATCATATATTCTTTTATAGAAACAATCCTAAGAGAACAGGAAAATATACTGCTTTTATTACATGGAGATACATTGCTTATCTCAAGCTCTAGTATTTCATATCCACTAGATAAAAAGAAAGTGTTCCTTGAAAGAAATGGATAGGCATAGAATAAGCACCCACCTGGATGTGAGGCCTTATCCCAAAAGGCATTGTTATATAGTCTTGAAGCAAAACATCAGGACTGCATTTCTGTAAAACCCGTTATTTTGTCTACATTAAAGCAAATACATATTTCTGTATGTTGTTTTGCTAGTCAAAGAGCAAGGTATTATTACCTGTAACTGCATAGTTCAGAAAAGTATCTGAACTACCCAGATCCTTCTTTGAATCCCAGCAACACTTCTGCATGTAGTAACAGATGTTCCTTCATAAGGCCAGATACTGGGCAACCTGTGAGCTGTATCTATAGAGTTAAAAGTAAGGATTAATGCGAAGATTTGCTCTAGTTTCATATCTGTTCTGCTTTAATTTGAGGATAAAGTGGAGAATATTAGTAATTGAATCAGACACCTTTCCACTACCTGTAAATTTAGGTTTCTTTTAAGGAGGCCTCTCATCGTAAAAGTTCTCCGTAATATATGGGCCTGCTATTACTGAACAGCCATTGAAGAAAAAGAAGATAGTTTAGAGGTAGTAAGTTAAAAAATAAATTACCGTGGCTGGGGATTTAGCTCAGCAGCATAAGAACCTGCCTTGCAAGCAAGCAGTCCTGATTTTGATCCTTGGTACAGATAAAAAGGAAAAAGACAAAAAAAAAAAAAAAAAAATTACCCTTCTAGCCAAGATGGAATATTACGTGGTTGGCATATACTTCAGCCTGAAATTCAAGAGTGTGTTTACTTAGTGCTCTTGCATTTTAATTTACAAATTATTTAGACATGATTAAGAAATTTTAACAGTTATATGAAAGTGAATGTAGTAGTCATCTACCCTTAGCTCACACCTATAATCCTGGCACTCTAGGAGCCTAAAGCAAGAGGACTACAAATTTGTACCCAGCCTGGGCAATTTAGCCAGACCTTGTCTCAAAATAAAAATAAAACTTTTTAAAGGACTCTGCAGCTCATTGCAAAGGGCTTAGGTTCAGTCCTCAGTACCACCAAAAAAGGTGCTAACCCTTTAAGACAATAAAAAGTGCTGTTTCCAAAATAGCTTTAAAAAGGAAGGAAATTTAAAAAAAGGGAAAGAAGGGAGGCAAGGAGGGAGGAAAGAAGAAAAAGGAAAGAAAAACTGTTTCAAAGTCTTGTTTGTTTCACATCTGCTAAGGATGTTTTCCTATATTGTAAATAGGTGGCACAAAAATAAAAGGCTTGTGCTTGCTACATCTGTCTTAACCTTGGCTAGTTTAGTTTCTTCTTTACCTTTCAAAATTCCCAACTCTGAGGTAGTTTGCTCTTTAACTTCTTAAGTCTGGAATGAAACTAAACCCTGTCTTACATAAGTATGTCTTCAAAAGATGATTGGGTGTCTGGGGAAAATACACTATTTGACGATATAGGCATTGTGTTTATAATCTGATAACAAGACATATTAGCTTATCTATAAAATACAGACTGTGCAATGACTTTCAAAGTAAGTCAGTGTGGAGGTAAAAGCAGCTTTTGCCTGTTTGAGTATGTCCTGTTTGGTTCCTGTGAGAAGTGTAATATTTTATGAGCACTTTTTATTTAGATTTTTTAAGATAATGTTCTTAATGATATTGAGAACTTCAAAAGTTCTACCTCCAAAGAAAGTATTACTTTGGCTTTGGTCTCTTGACTAATACCAGTTAAATTCAAGATGGCAAGAACAAAGAAATTATATCAATTACTGGAATAGGGTTTGGATGATTCAGCTGTACAGTGCTTTATACACAATGGCACTTTTTCTAAAATATTCATTGATTTGTAATAATTGAGGGTTTTAGGGTGGCCGTGCTTGAAAGTTTTTAGGAATAACTTTTCAATTTGGAAATTGAGTAAAAAGCAATGTGGTTTTTTTAATAGCAGCAATAGGCTGTATTCCATGACTTTTCATTTTAATCTTTGTGTTTGTTAAATCTAAAAGCAACATTTTCTCCCAAATGTATTAGTGAAAATAAAGTGTAAATACAAAGCTGTATTTAATCTGATCACTCTCAAATTGGGAAAGTGGCATTCTGGAAGCAACTATTAAGAACACTCAATCAAGGGGCTGGGAATTTAGCTCAGCGGCATAAGCACCTGCCTTGCAAGCAGGCAGTCATGAGTTTGATCCCCGGTACCGATAAAAAGGAAAAAAAAAAAAAAAAAAGAACACTGAATCAGTAATGACAGCGTCTCCATCAGCTTTAAATCACCAGCTCACATTTTAACTGGTTAATAAACTGTTCCCATGCTTCAGTATAGTACTGTCACCGTAGAAAACCTCAAGAGAGCAGGCGTATCCCAGAGCACCTAATTTACAATCAACACTACTTAGTCAGGTGTAAAGGACCTCATGTGTCATTTAAATGATCCATTTAACAATAACTCTGATATCCCAGTACGTGGCGTAACTGGGAAAGGGTACTGCCAAGAAAAATGAGATTCTAACCTTTAAGGAATTTACACGGCTCACAAGCTTTCGTAATGGAAATAGGCCTGTATATTGTAGAAAATCTTCTGCCTAAGGAAGTTGTCTTTAAAGGGCCCTTCCTGGTTCTTAAAGTAAATAGTTTCCTGGCATCTATAAACTTAGAGGAAACATGCAGCATTCGCTTGCATGCATCTAGGGGGTGGCAAAAGTAGATGGGACGGACTGACTGAGCTGTGCGTAGCTTTGCCTGCTTTTGACACCATCAAAAACAGAAATAATCTATAATATGCCATATTGCAAAAGCAGTTTTTAGGGATGTCAGTCTTATAGTAGAGGCTGTGGGGCAGTTTATGTGTCTAAACAAAGTGTATATAAATAAACACTTTGTATCACCTGAACTTCCTTGAAAAAAATTAAAAATTCCTTTTACATACCACTTTTGCTACCTTTTGAATATGTTTGAGTTTTTTAAAATATCAACATAGGAACCAAGGGGCAAAAATGGTTGAAATGCTTTTCAAGAAAAATTGAAAATCCAGACAAGATGGGAAAATACAAGGGAATTGCTGTTGTAAGGTAAAACTCTTTAAATGTGTGCCTCCTGAATCTTAAGAATAACATAGACTTTGTATACAGATTTAAAACTAGAGTTTTCAGTGCTTTAGAAATAAATGACTGATATGTCCATCTAAAAACAAATTCTCAAAGTCTAACCTAAGGATACTATACAGTTGTAAATTCTTGTGGACATAAACTCATTTACCTTTAAATTGAAGTTATATCAGTAAGATATAACTTTGTTGTTATATCTTTTGTTTTATTACCTTTCAATGAATTTTTATAATTTGAATAAGAAAAAGATACATGCTTTTTCTCCTCTTTTTACATATCTGAAAGTTTTACTGCTTCATCATCTGCTCTCCTGTTATTAACTGGAAAAGCAATGGCACAGAGCATACGTGAGTCAGCTCCTGGGTTGGTTCTATCCCCAGTACCACCAAAAATAGTGATAAAAAAGAAAATAGATGTAGATGACAGAAGTAGCAACAGACAACATGTATTCATAGTGTATTCATTTTTAATAGCAATAAAATCTATGACAGACCCTTTTCAGTTTGGTAAACAAAGATTTTTATTTATTAGTTCATTTCTCTATTAGCTTCACAGCTGGTTGATGTTACTGGTATGCCCCGTAGGCCTGCTTTCTGCAGGACTGCTCGCCTGAGATGAATATGTAATGAGTGTTTGACCCTGTTTGGTTCCTTGTTGCATTCCCATTAAATTGTGACATTTTCCATTTCTTTGAGCTTCTTACCCATTTCCAATACCTTTGACCATTTAAGTGTCTTGCAGTGACCAAAACTAATAGCTATGGTGAAGGTCGTAACTTAAGACAAATACAAAGATATGGCATATATCACTGATAATATACACAAGCAAAACTTAGGTTTATCCCTAGGAAAAGCTTTATAATCTGTATAGAGAAGAGCAAGAGAGGGCAGACTGTTCGCTGAAGAGCTTGTAGTTCAGGTAGGTGGGTAAAACTTACATACATCAAGTGATTGGGATTCATTTCCTCCTCTGCTCATACTTGGGTTAGTCTACCAAAAAAGGTGAGTGCAGACTAACCTAAGTGCATATTGAGTAAACGAATGTTCAGAGAATAAGGGTATAAGGAAGTGCAGCTCCATAAATGTGTTGAGGGACTTGGATCGGCGGGAAAGTGAGTGAATCAGCAGTACCCTTGTGAGTGAGCAGAGCCCCTCACCGAGCAGCCTGTTGAGGCAGCACCCAGGAAGCAGTGGAGTCCATTGTGGAGTCAGTTGAGAGCCCACCTGAGGGAGGGTGATTCGTTGCATACCTGGGTATTCTTTCCTACTGCTTTCTTTCCTACCTGGCTGGGCATATTCACTAAAGGACCTCATGACAAATACAGTACTTTTGTAATAATTATCAGCTTGCAGCCACTTTTTTTGTTTATGACCTGATGAGGTATAAAAGTTAAGCTGGACAACTCTAGTCTCAAATACTTTAAATTAGAAAAAAAGTTAGCCAAATTATGAATACATAGGGCTACCTTTAACATGTACAATAAATGACTTTTTTTCTGGAGTTTATTTTCTACATGAATTTTGGATTGGTTTTTGTTTTGTTTTTCAAGACAGGTTATCACCATGTAGTTCAGGCTGATTTTGAATTCTCTCTGTAACCTAGGCTGGTCTTGAATTTGTAGTTTCTACTGTCTCAACCTCAGTCTTCTAAGTGCTGGGATTAGAGGAATGTGCCCAGTACAAAAGATTTTTCTTGGTATTTGTTGTTGTTGTTTGGAATTTTCTTTCTTTGGCTTTCTTCTAAATCTGGTAATCAGAATAGTATTTTTTTAAATTATCTAGTTGACTGTATCCTTAACTTTTTTTTTTTTTTTTGAGGTAGAATCTTGCTATGTAATTCAGGCTTGCCCTGAACTCACTACGTAGCCCTGACTGGCTCCAAACTCATGGCTATCCTGTGCCTCAGCCTCCTAAATTCTGGGATTACAGGCATGTGTCTCTAGACCTGGCTCTATCCCTGAATTTACTTTGAGGATAGTGTTTGCTTGACCTTACACTGTTACATGAATTATGAGGTCTGTGAGAACACAGTGGTAATCTTGATCATCATTGACTCTTTTGTTTTGTTTTGTTTTTTGTCTTTTTCCTTTTTATCGGTACCGGGGATCGAACTCACGACTGCCTGCTTGCAAGGCAGGTGCTTATGCCACTGAGCTAAATCCCCAGCCCCTATCATTGACCCTTTTGAGGCAACATTTTTCTACAAAACAAGGGAACAGATTAGTGAATTTTTAATGTTTTTATATGAGTGCAAATAACGTAACTAAGCAAAACTGAACATTGAGAACTACTTTTTACAATTTTATTATATGTGTCTGCAGTGTATAATGTTTATGTTTGCTTTAGGGAGATGACACATGTAATTAACACATCTTAATCCCTTTTAATCCCCTCCCTGCTTTCTCTTCTATCTGTAGATATGTAATGATCAGACTCATTGTGGGTAGTTAGTCCATATTCACAGCACATCCCAATTCTGTCCATGTTTCCCTGTCCCAACCCTCCATCTCTAGATGACCTTTCCATTAGCACAAGATCTGTCTTTCTGTTTCCCCTGTCTTTCATTTTGCAGTATACACTATTTCATTTATATTTTGGATTTCTCATATGAGAGAAACTATACAATATTTAAGCTTATGTGTCTTATTTCACGTAACATTGGTTTCAAGTTGTCTCTACCTTCCTGAAAATGATTCAAATCATCCCTCTTTATATTTTAGTATTCTATTATGTATAGATACCACTTTGTTTGTTTGTTTGTTTGTTTGTTTGTTTGTAGACAGGGTCTCCCTGAGTAGTTCAGGCTAGCTTTGAATTCACCATGTAATCCAGGTTGACCTTGAACTCATGGGGATCATCCTGCCTCAGCTCCTGAGTGCTAGGATTAACAGGCATGGACCACCACAAGCAGCCACATTTTCTTTATCCGTTCATCTGCTGATGGGACACCTAGGCTGCTTCAAAGATTTAGCTATAATGAATTGTGCTGTTATAAACATTAGTATGCATGTATTACTCTAATCTGATAAGTGAGTGGTATTGTTGCCCAAAGATTTTTTTGTCAAGCAATTTTGACAAATGCTTTTTGTACATCTGTTAATAGAATCATGTGGGTTTTGTCAGTTTCAGTGCAGAGTTTGAGGAATATTGGCGCTCTGCAGTGGACTCATCAGACGTTGGGCTTTTCTTAGTTGGTAGGTTTTTTATGACTGCCTCAGTTTCATTTCTTATTCCTAGATTGTTCAGAATTTGTATGCTTTCTTGGTTCAGTTTTGATAACTCATAGGTATTTAAGAATCTGTTTCTTCAGTGTTTTCCAGTTTGTTGGAGTACAGTTTTTTACACCATTTACTAACAGTCTTCTGGACTGCATCGGTGTCCAGCTGTGGTTTATCTGTTCTATTTATTCTTACAAAGAGTTAATTATTTGATTAATTTGATCCTTTGTATTGCTTCTTTAGTCTCAATTTCATTAATTTCTTATCTGATCTTTAAGATTTCCTCTTCTAATCTAAGTTTGAGTTTGGACTGTTGTTTTTCAGATACCTTGAGATTCATCACTAGGTTACTTATTTGAGCTCACTGATTTTCTAATGTGAGCATTGACTGCGTTAAACTGTCCGCCTACGACTGCTTTCATTGTGTCCAACAGGTCCTGGTGTGTTGTTTTGGCATTGTCATATGATTCCAAAAATTGTTTAATTTCTTCTTTGATTTCTTTAGTGATCCGTTGAGTGTATTGTTTCCAGTGTTTATAAATTGTCTGTGGTTTCATGATTGATTTCTAGTTTCAGTGTACTGCTGGTATCTGTGGAGTGATTTCAGTTCTTTTGTATTTATTTAATCAGGCTTTGTGAACTAATATGTGATCTGTTTTGGAGGAAAAGCAAGAACTGTTTTCATTGTTGGCTTCTTGACCCATGAATTCTGCTTAGTTTTTATGAGAGAAAACTTTTCACACTAACTTCCCTTTCCCTTTCTTAAGTTCAGCAGGTGGTTAATTAAATCATATTCTTGACTTCAAAACATCTTTCATGCACATATCAGGACAGGACCCAGCATGTTAGCTCACCAGTCTTCAGTCCTTAACTCTCTGCGGTGTCCTAGTGGGGGAAGAAGAAAAGAGTGTGTGCCAGTAAACAGCCATTGCTCCATGGAATCAGAGGATATTGTTATTTAGAAAATTGGATCCATTCGTATGGAATAATAAATCTTCGCAAGGGAGGTGACTTGAGAAGTCAACGTGTTCTTTTCATCATCATTGTTAGCATTTTTATTTTAAGGAAATAAAATAAGACTCTCTAAACTCTTTCCCTGCACCAACAGTAATGTAAGGCTTGTAGTACAAAGTGGCAGGCTTCTGAAGTTTCTCTCCTCAGAACAACTACATTCAACTCACTGTACGTCATTGCGTATGCACATTGGCGCCAACCTGTGTTTTTCATGGCTGTGTAGTATTCCATACCCACAAACCTGAAAGCTGGGATAAGATCTGGGAGTCCATGAGAACCGTATTTAGAAGTGCAAATGTATTCCCTTGTGGGTATAGAGGAAGCAACAAATTTCTAGTAAGAAAGTGTGTAATCAGAGACAATCCTTTGCCAAATAACTTGTACACAGTTTTAGATAAGACAGAATAAAGTAAATGTCACACATTAAAATTTCTGTACAGGAGAATTCTTTTGTTGGTTTATATATATATTTACTGATTAGACATCTGAAGTTACTCAGTCTTGGTTGAGACCAGCTTTCA